TAGATATATCATTCATTTTCAGGACATTAGGATCATTACAGGCAAAGTGACTAGAACGTCGATTGTGACACGGATTGGTGCCGATATAAGCTGATGCAAACCGTGCCTAAAAAGACAACCCTGGAAATTTCTATAAGCGGTCAACGTCTAACATATCTACGTTAAAATCGTCACCGAAAATAATTAAATCAAACTGGAAATTAGGTCAGCTAAAGAAGTTTCCAACTGATCAATGCAACTCAACAGATTGCTACCTGGAGGACGTTATAAGGTGCGGCCCTTAATCTCCTAAGCGCGGAACAGCGTTCTCACGAAGGTTCTGTATTAGTTGCCCATATATATTTCCATAACACTAACAAAGACATAGCAATCGTTCACCTGAGAACGCTGTTCACCGGTTACAAGAATAGACAACGAGCGACTTTCTTTCCCTCAAATCGGACACACACTCATAAATGACTGATATGTTTTGCAGGTGTAAAACATTATCAACTCCATTTTAACATGTCATATCATTATTAGGTATACGAGAATGAAGTGAGTCAAATTTCTAAGGAGGACCAGAGGATGGTCGGACCAGAAGATAGAATATGATAACTCTTTATCAAGCAGAATTGTCTCAGAAATTTTTCCCAATCCGTCAAAATACGCCGATGAAACAGATTGAGTCCCGAGTGCAGGGCCACCGCCAGACCTGAAGCCGCCCGCGTGCGATTTCATATTTTGGCGCCTCCTAGTTAGGGCCAGTCACCCCCGGGTTAAGCATAACTCCAGGGTAAACATTACAACTGAACATGTTTACCCTGGAGTTAAAACCAACCCGGAGGTAACTCGCTATTGAGACACTGGCCCTAGCTAGGGGGCGCCAAAATATGAAATCGCACCTTAAGGTTTGCAAGTAAAAGGAAAGCAAAAATTTTTGGAGTGGTATTGAGTCAACAGGGTCTTTATTCTTGGAACAGGGGAACAGCGTTCCCAGGAGAACGAGTTTTCCGTCTTTCTCATTGACATGCAAATGCTAATATAAGTAATAAAGACGGAACACTCGTTCTCCTGGGAACGCTGCTTCCCAGTTTCAAGAATAAGGATCCCGACGTGTCTCGTATTACCTGAAGTGCGCGGGTAGTTGGGGGCAAATCGGTAGAAATTCCACAGTATACGCATACAGCTAAAATGTAACTAATTATGTACTAATGCCCCCAGCGGCGCGCGCATCCATGTTCTCTGGTTTATCTCATTACTTTTAACCATATGCACTGTCTCTTTTTATATACGAGACACTTCTATCGTGTGGGTAGTCATGTTTTTTATTAAAAAAATAAATACTTTTTATTAATTCTACTAAACAATGTTGGTATACAAACTGTTTTTGTAGAAACATAATAACTATAATATCACAAAAATTAACGAATGGAACCTCGAAATTTCTAAAACTCAAATTGGGAATATACGTTGGTGATAGGTAAATAATTGGTCAGATCAGATAAGCTATATTAACTGAATACATAATATATACTTTCTTCACACTGAATTATCAATAGTAATATAACTAGTGCAATGGAAATTATTGATAATTTTTGGGAAATTTGCCCGAATGCATTTTTAGTTGAAAAAGAGCACGAGTGCACGTAGTGCACGAGTGTCTTTTTCAGTTAAAAACGGATGAGTGCAAATTTGTCGAAAATTATAAATATATTTCCATTGCACGAGTTGTATTTAATGAGAGAATTTCATAAATCAAAAATTTGAATTTTTTGTCAACAAATGTCAAAACACCAGTTTTCGCACCAGTTAGTAATTTGCACTAGTGCAAATTATCGCGTAATTACAATCTGATTGGTTCAAATCAACAATCAAAACATGTCAATTTATTGTTGGAATACCAGTTTTGACAGATGTATGAAATTCTCACAGTAAAATTGAGAAATATCAAATGAAATTAGGGTTGGCAAATGACAGGTCAATTATCTTTCGTTCAATTGACCTAGTATTTGACCGGTCATTTGCCAAATTGCTCGCGTCAAATACTCGAGTAGTGGGGAGCGAGACGTAGCATAATTCCCATCATTTATTGCTGGTCTAGCCGCCAGGTATAACATAACAAGGGCAGAGAGAATAGACAATAGTATATTTCCTAACTAGTGCGGAAATTGCCACTTTTCCGCACGCGATTGCAGTTTGCCGAACGACCCGTAGCAGAGTTCATCAAGCAATCAAGGAAAAGAGGCTTTCCGCACGAGCTAGAAACACTATTTTTTCTACGAGAGGAAAGTTAATATTTGTACCTTTATATTTAACAATTTACAAGCCAAGTTAGGATTTTTTTTTTACTTTTTCGCATATGTACCTAGAGTATACTATATAACCTGTATACCTACCAATTCTAGTGCGGAAAAGTGGTACTTTCAGGACCTAAATGCGTGTGGAAAAGTGGGATTTCAAGTTTTGTTTGTTTCATTTTCTAGAGAAGAATTTTATTTAATTTTTTTATAACAATAAACTTTCGCTTTTGCTTTTTTTTTTTTTTTAATGGGTCAAATTGATTTGGTCAAATATTCGAATTTTGGTCAAATTGAGTGTCAATTGACAACTTTTGACTGGTCAATTGACCGAGGTGCCATCCCTAAATGAAATATCAATGTTCGAAATGTTTTTTGCTTAATAACCACCAAAAAAATTACAGAAAATTGACTTTTCTGCTTTTAATTGTTGCAAAATCTCTCAAGACATTCTATGGATAAAATCGCTAATCCAGATAAACTTTCTTGTAACATTGTAGATCTGAAATGGTTTTTTAATAAAAACTCTGAGCTACATAAATAATAATAGTCCAGAGTAATTTTGCAAGAACCAACAGAAAAATTGGCCCATTGGCTGTACGGAGCTGAGAGCCGACCTGTAGCCTGATTCTCGATACGCAGCAGGGCACAGGATAGGGTTCTATCAATTTTCAGTCTTCGTCACTCATATAGGATTTCACATGGAACCTGAGAAAGACAAAGCACTTGTTCCCAGACGAGCGCCTGGCGTTTCGAGAATCAGGTGCCTGGCCTTTGACTAAAAAGGAAAATAATTGAAACACTTTCAGAAAAAAGTTTAATTATGAAATATTATAAATTATGAAAAAAAAAAATATATTTTTTTCTCCAGCGATTTGCCGCCCTTGGCTATGCCGCCCGCGTGCGCCGCACGCCTTTGCGCTTATGGTAGCGGGGGCCCTGCCCGAGTGCTCTGTCCAGGAAATAGACGAACGCGGATAATTTTTGCTCGATTAGTTCGCAGCATGAAACACCCCATCATTTAAGAGCATGAAACACCAAAATATAGGTAGGTGCATGAGGGAACAGGGGATTACATTATGGCAAGTAGGTATAGTACTTTTAATACCCATTTGGAATAACCCCATCTTTATTTATCAATCATGAATTAGATGAAACAAAAAAATACCAATAAATCACCTAAACCACTGGTACTTCCAAATAGGTACGAGAAATACTATAAGTATCCCATACTAGACTCTAAACTGGGACAGGATTATGCATGACGAGATTTCGATACATTTGCGAGACGCGAGACGAGACGAGACTCGAGGCTGCGAGACAAAACTTCTTTTTTCATCGACGAGACGAGACAAGACTTTATAAAAGGCTCGTCTCGTTGGTATCGTGGAAATCACTAGCATAAATGTTAGATTTGTCATTTATTTTCGCATTGTTTTCACGATTTTTTAATCTAATAAAGAAATTCGCTTAATAAAATGCCCCTGGCTTTATCGAACAATCACCACTTATCCCTATACCTAAAATGTTAATCTCTCTAGAGCTATAGGGATTAATATCCTAGGTTCGCAATAGTTCGCATTACTAAGCGAAGTATGTCTATGGTAAAATATGTCTAGCCAGATTTTTCTAAATTATTTTCTCTTTGTGAATTATTTTGAGTACCTAGTAGGTACTGGTTATCGTGAAGTATCTTGTCGATGTTGAATTTCTATTTTCAAATTTAGCTCTCACTCATATAATAGTATAATAGACACTGTTGAATTGAACAAAACGCACCTTTAAGCCAGAAAATCTGTGACTTTTTGATGGTAATTGCAGCGAAATGCACAAATTGTCAATAAATCTCGTTTTGCTACGCGAATAAAGGTGAAAAAAAGTAAATTCGTGTCTTGATACTGTACAGCAATATCTAAAATATCCAACAGCTCTCTAATAATTGTACTCTTATAACGGTATATTTTTATCTCTAATCACTTAAAAGTAGGCCTCATAATTGCATCCCGACCAACTAATATGTAATATTTTAATGAATCCTGCGACAAATCCAAAAATCGATTACCGTCAAACAGAACAATAAAATAAGTGCATTCGCAGCCATCGCATCAATCAAAGCAAATGCCGACGAGCCTAAAAAAACGCACTCAATATTACGTCAATTTTTTTTTATTCAAAGCACGAAATATTAGTAGTACCGGGACCGGGGTGTTTCACTTTCAAAAAGCGCGTCAGCGTTTAAACAAACGTAACAAAGACGGCGCATGATCTACCGAAAACCGCAGCAGGAATCGCCGCGAAACGGTAAAAACATACTCAGTAAAGTCAGTATTACAGTATTTCAGTATACTTGGGCAAGCGCACAGGATTGTGTGGTTCCCAAAAAGCTCCGAGCACCAATTTCACTTTACGAGCTTGTTCTCGTTCTCATTCATTCAGTTCAGTCATCCTGCGCTGCCTCCTGCTGCAGCCACCCGGTACAGGACCGTTACTTTTTTTTTCGGAATAATTTGAACTTAGTGACGATTTTTTTTTTTTTTTTTTTTGTTTTTTTTTTTTTTTTTTTTTTTTTTTTTTTTTTTTTTTTTTTTTTTTTTTTTTTTTTTTTTTTTTTTTTATTCGATGTCGGTTGTTGGAAAGTGTATTATCTCGTTACATGAACAAAATTTTCGGCAAAGTGAAAGTGGACCTAAGTGAAAGTTGGACCATTGTTGAATTTTAAAAATGGATTCGCCTCAGATGTACGATAATCAACAGCACAGCCAAAATAATAATTTGATTAATACCGAAGCAAAAAAATCCGTTATTATGAACAATAATAATAATAACAATAATCTTACAACCCTTAATAATAATACAGGAAATTCGAAGCAAACGGCAGCTTTACTTAAACAACACCAGTTGGCGCAAACGTACCAACAACACCCTAACGAAATGAACGATCTTAACACCCCTGAAATTTCATTGGACTTACAAAACTTAATTGACGATTCGCAGTTTAGTGAAGGTTTATTTACGGACATTTTGCAAAGCCAACAGGGCAAACACATACAAAATTTACATTCAAGACAAGTGATGGGGGTGCAAAACAACAATTATCCCCGAACTACCCTTGCGTATATGCCCCAGCCTGTACACAGTGGAGCAACTTACTCCGTTAATCCAAATTCGAGTAGTGACTCCAATAGTTCAGCTGGTAGCGACGTTCCTAGCATCAAAGAAGAACCTTTAGAGCACCAAGAAGAGTATCGCAGACAAACTTCATGCGGTTTGCTACCGAACAACTATATGCCTGGAACCTATCCTCAGAATCCTGGCTCAACTTTCACCACCTTAACTCCAAGTCCAGTAATGCATCACCAAATCAACATGAACGCCATGAAAAATAAGGCTTCACTGTTGAACCAGCACGTTTCAAGAAAAAATAACAAACCCTGTGATAAAAACAGTGATGAATATCGAAGACGACGCGAAAGGAATAACATTGCTGTGCGAAAGAGTCGCGAAAAGGCGAAAGTAAGGACCCGAGAAACTGAGGAAAAAGTGAAAATTTTAATCAAAGAGAACGAAAGACTTCAGAAGCGGATAGAATTGCTAAGTGAAGAACTAAATGTGTTGAGGAGTTTATTTTCGAATGTGGGAGTACTTCCTGAACACGTCCATCGGGAAATCAACAAGCACTTAGATACGTTCCAGCTTCAACAACAGCAGCAACAAATGTAAGATTTTTTAAAATTTATTTGATATTATCCTATGGAATATTGTATATGAGGCCAACAAAAGTAACTTCATCATGTTCTCATGATAGATAAACTTCATACAAGATGTTAGGTATTTCGCCTTCCCTACAATATTTCATCAATTATTGTTTATCATCAAAATTATGTAGGTTAACTTTTATTGTAGAAATTCAAATGTCATTTTGAAAGTTTTCTTATTTTTTTTTCAATTATCAAAAAGAAAATTTTGAGGAAAACCAGAAGATAGGTACCTACTTTCGAAAACTAACTCAACTTCTAATTTTTCAGTTATTTTCAAGAAAAATTATGTTCCAGTTTATTATGTACTGAAATATCAACCTATAATTGAACCAAATTTGAAATTAACACTTTTTCCCTAAAATCGAATGTGTAATAGGTAAATGTGAGATTTTTTCAAAAGAAATTTTTGCTAACATACTTTCCAATCCTGACCTTTACTTTTTTGATGATATGTTTGAATATACTTGCTATTGACATTTTTTAGTTGGATACTTCAAATCTTTCAATTTGCGATCCAATAAGAACCAAGTGCGATTTTTCATAAAATAATATTGTGTGATTTTCTCTACACAAATTTATTTGGAACCCAATTTTGTTCTGAATATATTTTTTTTTGATTCAATGGATTTATTTGAAATTTTGTATTAATATAAGAGGGCCTTTCCTTAATTTTAGAAAAAATATCTCATCAAAATGTACAGGGGGAGCTAAGTAATCATTGCCTTTGGAGCCGTTGCAAACTTAAATTTTTTTCTCTAAAACGGCATAACTTACTTATTTGAAAATATTAAGAAAATATCGGAGGATAGGCTATGAGAAAATGTTTCGAAAAACTTCAGGTTTTGTATTAGAAACGTATTTTTGTCGAAAACTTTGTTGAATGATATTACCATACATTATTATTATAATAAGTGTAAGACATTATTCAACAAAGTTTTCGAAAAAAATACGTTTTTAATACAAAACCTGAAGTTTTTCGAAACATTTTTTCATAGCCTGTTTTCCGATATTTTCTTAATATCTTTGATTTTGATTAGAAATTTTATCTACAATTGAGGAAAGAATATTCACACAAAATTTCACAAAAATCCGCCGGATCAGAAAAAAATATATATTCAGAGTCAAATTGGGTTCCAAATAAATTTCGCCCACAGTGCAGTGTGGTCCACGTTTTTAATGTAGGTATTGACTTATAGTGAGATAGGGTACCTCAAACCTCCGTTTATCTACATAGATATAAAAATTCAATCGGAAATTTGAATTTGTTTCTTAAAATATACAGGGTGTTTCACGAACATCGAAACAGAGGCGTTTTAGGGTATTTTAAGGTCGATTGAAAAAAAAGCCTTGGACAAGTCATTTTTGTATTCAAAACTTTTTGACCCTATCGGTAGTTAGCTAAGGTGCACCCCCTAGGTGGGGTGACTTTCACCCCTCTCTTTTAGATATGGAAGATGGGTCGGTGGTACCTTGTTTTGCAGGCATTTTGATTCTCGTCACAACTGCGTATTTTTTTGGAAAATCAAATTATAAGTTCTCAAGATATTTACTATCAAAGTTGCCATGGGCTAAATAAGAAAAAAATGTCTGGCCTTGTTATTCTCAAATTACCACTTTCCTGACTTTCCTCTCGGACATGTCAATTTCAACCTTTTCAGAAGCACTCAAAAAAAAAATTAACGTGTCTGAAAGAAAAGTCAGGAAAGGGTTAATTTGAGAATAACAGGGCCAGAAGATTGTTTCTTATTTAGCCCCTGGCAACTTTGACAGTGAATATTATGAGAACTAATCATTCGATTTTCAAAAAAATACGCAGTTGTGACGAGAATCAACATACCTTTAAAACAAGGTACCACTCGACTCATCTTCTCTATCTTAAAAAGAGGGGTGAAAGTCACCCCACCCAGGGGTTTCACCCTATAGTGAAATACCGATCGGGTCAGAAAGTTTCCTCGTTGGATACAAAAATGACGTATCTGAGCGTTTTTTTTTTTTTAATCGACTTTGAAATACCCTAAAATGGCTCTGTTTCGATGTTTGTGAAACACCCTGTATATTCCTTAGGTCCTCTCTAGTAAGATTTCGACAACCGTTCGCAAGGTAGGTAATACTTACCGGACACTTTTCCTTTAAAAAAGTATCTCTTCACCTAAAACCAGTCAAAAATATAATAATAATATGTTATGATAATCACGATAAAAATACATCGATTATTTTTTATGTGATACGTGTGTGTAATGAGTTTTCTTACCGAGTTCTCCCTTTGGGGAGCTTACTCATTCCATGGGGAAAATTTGAATTTTCTCTGTTTTTCCTGTTAAGTTTTTGGTTAGTTTGTGTTTGCAGTTTTATTATTATTATTTTTAATGATTGTATTTATTTAATTTTAAGGAATGTCTTCAAATAGATTTTTGAATTTGTCGTTTCTTCTTCGTTTGATGTTCGATGTGAAACGTGTTTTTTAGTGTTTGGTTGGATGTTTGATTTATGGCTTCTTTGAATTTTGTGTGTTTACGGATCAGAAATTCCTTTATGGATTCGGCTTGGAGGTCTTCGTGGATGTCCGTGTTCCTGATGAACCACGGGGCGTTTGTAATTCTTCCGAGTTTTGGGAAGTTTGGAGTTTTTTCATGTTTGTGTTGCTTTGGTTGAAGAAGGCTGTTGAACCGTAGAGCATTTTTGGTCTGATGACTTGGTTCTATTTCAGATATTTGTTTTTTAGGTTTAATTGACTTTTGGATTGTAGTAAAGGACGGAGTTGGTGATATATGGCGTTGCTGATTTTTAGTTTTTGTTGAGTGTTGTGGTTGAAGTTCAGATTCAGTCTAGGTGGATTCCTAGGTACTTGACTTTGTCTTGCCATGGGATTTCGATGTCGTCAATGGTGAGGTTGTCTAGGTGTGGTCTGGCCCATTTTTTGGAAATTGCAATGGCTTGCGTCTTTTCGGCATTTATTTTTATTCTCCAAGAATTTGCCCATTCCTGGATTTAGTCTAGGTGATTTTAAATTGAAGTGGTTATAGTGTCTAGATTTTTATAGGATGCGAATATGCAGGTATCATCGGCAAATAATGAGATTTTTGTTCGTGGGGATTTTGGGATGTCGGCTTGGTATAGATTACATAGGATGGGGGATAGGGGAGAGCCTTGGGGGACTCCTGCTTCTATTAGCCTAGTGGTTGATAAGGTTTTGTTTATTTTCACTTGGAACTTTCTTTCTTTGAGAAATTGTTTGATGAATTGGGTGAAGTTTGGTGGAATCGTCTGGTTTTTGTAAAGTTTGTATAGGCCCTCGTGCCATACTTTGTAGAATGCCTTTTGAACGTCTAGTAGAATCAGTCCTGTTGTTTCTTTTTTGTTAAAGCCGTCTGTGATTTCTTGTGTTGTTCTTGCTAGTTGTAGTTCAGTTGATAGGTAGCTTCTAAATCCAAATTGTTCGTCCGATAGTATGTAGTTTTCTTCTGTGATTGTTTTTAGTTTTTCGAGCAAAACGATTTCTAATAACTTCCCTAGGGATGGAAGTAGACTGATTGGGCGCCAATTTTGAGGGAAGGTTAGGTTTTTGCCGGGTTTTGGAAGGAGGATCACTATGGCGGTTTTCCATAGGGAGGGAAAGTAGGAGATTTGGAAGCACTTATTGAAAATTTTGGAGAGCATTTCTAAGTACCTATTCGTCAGGAAGGTTTTTTAGGGTTTTGTTATTAATTGCGTTAATTCCAGAGGCCTTTTTGTTTTTTAAGTTGTGGATAATTTGTTGAAGGTCTTTTTTTGTGGTTTTAATTGCTTCCCTTTTGTGGGGTTCGTGCGTTGAGTTGAGTTTCTACATTGTGTTGTGGATTCTGTTTTCGTCGTCTTGTTCGTAGTCCATCAATTTGTTTGTGGTAAATTGTAGTTCCAGGGAGTCAGCGAATGCTTCTGCCTTGGCTTTGTCGTGGTACACAATGCCATGATTTGCATTATGAATTGGCGGCATTTCTCGAATATTGGTTTTATTAAGTAGAGATTTTTGGGTTTGCCATAAGTTTATCAGGTGGTCTTCTTCGTGAGGGTCTTTTGTTAGTTTCGCTCTCCTTTTGAGTTTGTTTCTGGCTTTAATTTTTTCTTTTATGTGGACTGGGAGGAGGAAAGGATTTTTTGTTTTAATGTTGATAGTTGAGGAGGTTTCTTGTAGGACTGTTTCAATGGTTTTTGTTAGAGTGACCAGAGTTTCTTCGATGTTGTTTGGGTCATTTGATGGTTCAAAAGTTGCCTTGTTTTCCAGTAGCTTTTTCTAGAAGTTTTGCCAGTTTGTTATATTGATGGTATGTGGGTCTGGTTGAGTAGGAGGTTTGATACTTGGATGGCTTTAGGGGTATGGTCGGAGAAGGCTTTTTATGGATATGGAATGGGGACAGTTTTTAGTAATTGCAATGTCTAGGATGTCTGGGGTGATGTGATGGAAGTGGGTAGGTTCGACTGGGGCCAGGATTTTCAGTCCTTTGTCTATGCAGTTATCATTTAGTGTTTTTCCTGCTGCGTTTTTGCATTGAAGTCCCCTGCTATTATTGTTGGGTATGGAGAGTTAAATAGTGTGTCGAGGTCCGTTTGTTTTGAGGTGATTCCCGGTGGCTTGTATGCTGAGATAATTTCTATGTCTCCTTCCTGGTGGATGACTCTAATTGCAGTTACTTCAATCCTGGGGTCGGTATTTGGAGGCGTGATTCCTTCGTGGGGTATGTTTTTTTTAATTAGGATTGCTGTTCCTCCCCCTATTCTGTTGTCTCTGTCTTGTCTGTATATTTTGTAGCTGGGCACTTTAAATCTGGTTTGTGGTTTTAAGCATGTCTTTTTTATTAGGGCTATGTCTATCCCGTTTCCAATGAGGTATTCGTTGAACTCCTGTCTTTTGGGAAAGAGGGACTTCGCGTTCCAGCTGATTATGAATAGATTAGTTACTTTGTTGGTTGTATTATCCATTC